TTTTTTTAATTTTTTATGTTCTTGTTTGTGTTGATTTTTTTATAATATTTCGTATTTTCGTTGGTCATTCGGAATCCTACTTCATCTTGTTTTTATTAAATTTTTTATATTCTTGTTTGTGTTGATTTTTTAAATAATATTTATAGTATTTCTTTAGTTGCAATTGTGATACTTGTTGATTTTACACAAACAATAATTTTCTTTATTATTATTATCATTGTTATAACATTTACAGCATTGAATAGACATGCTGAAGGAATATCAACTATACTGATGACAAGTGAAACTAATACTAGTCTTGACACAAGTCCTTGTTCAAGAATCTGTGAGCTAAGAGTGTCCATCTTCCCTGCTATTCCTGTTCTTCCAGGCTGTTGTCAAGTTCATAATTATCATTGCATATCATAAGTCATAACATTAATTAATTGTTTGTTTTTAAAAATAAAATAACACATTTGATAAAACAGTAACATGTAAAATCAATACCTTCTTTTAGCTGGAAACCTCCACTAAAGTATTGCAGTAAGTTGATTTCAAGCATAGCTTGGTAAAAAATAACTTGCTTCTTCCAGAGCTGCAGATCTGAGCATGCGCGACCACACCCAAATTTTAGAGCACATGGCAAGCTTCTTTAATTAACAAAATGGCGGCATGTAGCTAAGATGGCTCGATCCAGCAGTCACAGTATCACTTTTTCCTTACTTGAAGAATGATCTGATGGGACATGGACCTGCGCATAGACTGTTGCAGTAGATTGGTGTAAGAATTATTCTTGTAGCACCAACTGATACTGAGATACACACCGACAACTGGATTGACAGGACTTGATGATGAAGAAGATGATGATGATGATGATGAAGATGAAAAAAGGTGGCTGAACAAAACGGCCGGTTCGCCGATTTTTGACTTTTCGCTTAGACAAGGTCTAGAGCCACGCTAGTTGCACCATTGGAGTCCTCTGGTCAAGATAAGGTCCTCTATAAAGTCTGGTAAGCATAGGAGCTCGTTTTCCAGGTATAGCAAGGCTGCAAAAGTCGTGGCAGCCATTTTGTTTGGGGGTGAATCCTACTTAGTAACGCTACCGCGTTACTAATAGTACAGGGTCGTTGGCCAGATTTTGGAGCAACTTCAAAAAATCATAAAAAATCCAAACTTTATCGGAATTAGCTCAAACTTGATATACAGCATAAGGACATCTATATGTATCAGAAAAAATTATAAAAATAAAGAATTCTCTCCTAGTCATTTTTCATGAAATTTGGCCAAAGTCCCTATGCCAGACTATAGTATGGGGTATGCCATACTATAGTATAGGGTAATTGGTAATCGACTGACATACCAAAATCTGGTGGGAATCAAATCCTGCTTATACAAATACTTAAGTACATGAACGACACATCATATGCAGTGATTCAATACCTTGCAAATTAGTTGGATCAATGACTTGAAGTGAACTGTTAACTTTAGAGCAAATGACGACAGGACTACAACAAACAATGGACACATGTAAACCATCACACTACATGTACATGTACAGTATATACATTTCTACAAGTATCTTTCTCTCCTAACCTAATATTCCCAAGACTATTGGCTACCTTACGAGGCAGACAGACTACATTGTCTCTACATACCGGAACTATCTCAACCGAGAAGGTGAACTTGTAATTGTAAGTATTGCTGTGAACATCATGAGATATCAATTCCTGTGACGTCTTGTACCTACATGTACATAAAAAAGTCGTGAAATTTTTGCTTGTTGTTACTTTGATGGGACCACGCTCATTATGAATTCTACCATTTTCCTAGCATCTTGTTTTTGAGCGTAATAAAAGTCAAGGCCTCCTTTTATTTCTTTTATTCGGAGGACGTTTGAGTGAATGTTGTGCTTAAGGATCAACTGCTCAAGGTAAAGAAACGTCTTTTTATGTGTCGTCTATAAAATTAGGAAAAAAAAATTAACAAGTACAATGTAATAATGATAAGAGAGAATCGTGTTTTTTTACCTTTTGTCTAACTTGAACGACGGCTTTCCAGTAATCCTTAGCTTCTCTTCTTTGACAGTCCTCGCACATTTGATGATGAACAATGAACTCAACAACAAACACCTGCTGTAATAGAGTCCCTGCTAGCATCTACAGACATAAAGCCAAACCCACCGATTAATAATTATAGTTCTTTGATCTTATATAAGTGTGATTAGAAATTGAGAATATGCTCAAAAAAACCCATTCGTTCCATTGTCACAAAATCCATGACAAGCGAAAAACCCATTCATTCTATTGTCACAAAATCTATGACAAGCAAAAACCAATTCGTTCTATTGTCATGAAATCCGTGACAAGCAAAAGCCCATTCGTTCTATTGTCACAAAATCCGTGACAAGCAAAAACCCATTCGTTCTATTGTCACGAAATCCGTGACAAGCAAAAACCCATTCGTTCTATTGTCACGAAATCCGTGACAAGCAAAAACCCATTAGTTCCATTGTCACATCTTAAAACATTGGTCAAGACTACAAAAAAACCTCTTTTTCAAAGGCTCATAACTTGCAATACTTCGAATACAATCAAACTTTTGTATGTACAATGTATATTATACATGTACATTAACTACTCATCCACTCACCTCCTTCTGTATGGTCAGTTTTATCTTGAGTCTCTTTGAGTGAGGCTCTGTCCATATGAATCCTGCGTCTACCAGGTGTACCTTACCGAGACCCTTCAGTTTCTTGAGACAGAGAGCCAGCAACTCACGGGACTCTAGACTACAAGAAACCCAACCAGACGGAGGCTGCAAATACCTAACAATAATAATAATAACAAAAATAATAATTATTACAATATCTATTGTTTTGTCATCTCAATTCACCTTTCACAACTCCTACAGAAGTATATAGTAGATTGCTTTGGTATTCCTTCAGTGATATCGACCTAAAGAGCGGGCAATGAGACACTATAAAGTGGTTTGTAGCCGACCTGGGTCCTTAGGCAAGCCACGCACATATTGGCTGGATTTGGCTCAATCATTGTACCACACTGACAGCAAAGGCTAGGGAAAGAGACAATAGATTGATAGAATAGAGCGGTAGGCCTTACATTCGCTGCATACTGTCCTCTTCTCTACTCAAAGAAGGAGAAATGTACTCCATTGTGAATGTACCACGAGTATAAGTGTAATTATGGGCGTGGCTTCTTAAAAATCCAATTTTGATTAGCAGGATGTCCTTATATTGCCCAATGCATGGTTGCATACATATACCAGTACATGTATTGGATAAATGTATAGCTGAATGCACACATGAACTAGTGCATGTAATTTGTGGTGCAAAAATAAATTACTAAGTCTATTGTGGGTTAACAGGGTTGTACTTTTAATCATATTCATCATTCCCGGCTATGAAAATACAAATACAATATCAGAAATACATGTACTAACTGAATATAGACACTAGACAATAGTAGGCTTTACTGTACAGGAATCAGTATAATTATTATAATTATTACAAGTACAAATAGAGTATTGAGTATTATAAATGCATTCACCCTTTTGTCAAGGCAGCTACAAACTCTAAGCTAGGTCAATGATGTAAGTGTGCCTTTGATCTTTTTCTGAAAATAGGACAGGATCTTGAAGAAAAGAAAGATTATAACAAATTCTAACTGGCTAGAAAAATATTATTGTAAATGTTTGGTACTTGCACAGTACTTCTATCTAGTTGGCATTAACTTCATCATGTATTAATAAATTGTATTGCTCACTTCAAAAAATAACTTCAATAAATCAAATTTAATCAATATGTAGTTTAAGTGGCAGAAATTAAGACTATTCAATACAGTAATAATCTGTTGCAGTCATAAACATACATTACTCCATTATTATCAAATGTTATTCCTCTTGGGTTACTAAACTGGTCAATATTATTACCTTGACCTCCGAAGCAACGAACAAAATCCCCTCCAAAAGTGAATATTGAGATACGATGATTTCCACACTCTGTTATATAGAGGAGATTGCCAGTACCAATGGCAATACCATAAGGGTTCTTCAGCTGGCCAGGATCAGATCCCTGTGTCCCAAAAGTAGACAGGTATTCCCCAAGATAAGTGAACTTTTGAATGCGATGATTACATCTATCAGTGACATACAGAAACTCCTCACCATCAATGACTGCAATAGCAACACCTTTGGCTTCATAAAACTTTCCATTTTTTGATCCGTAACCACCAAAGGAGCGAATGAATCTTAGATCAGAAGACAAAATGTAAACATCATTATTATCAGCAATGTATATGTAGCCAGTTATAGATGAAACGACAGCACAACTAAGACATCTAGTGAAGGTAATAGAATCGGTCATCTTCCTAACTAATTCTCCTTTTAATGTCAAAATTTCAGCAGATTGTTCTGTTATGACAATGACATCATTCTTAAGTGATGCACAAACAAATTGATCTACATCGTAAGACTTTATGACAGAAGCTGCTTCTGGTACAATATTATCCTGGGAGTTAAAACACTTAATAAAATGCAAGTGATTTTGATCGATATGCTGGTGCTCGGTAAAAATAATAAGACCATCATTACTAACAGCAACACTAGATACTGACCCGAATCCATATATGGCACGAGCTGGAGCTATGGTATCAAAGTGAGGGTTGAAAGGAACCATCAGTGATACAGACTCAAGCTGCACATCATAAATATGAACTGATAAACTATGAGCACCACTAGCCAATGGACAGCAATCAACTTTATATATTCCAGGGGCACTAGTGGTTGTGATCTTATACTTGTCTTTATGTTGCTCCTTTTCTTTAATCATTGGAATTAACCGACACTTGATTGAAGAGACTGGAATGATGACAGAAGCAGGTAATTGAATCAACAGAGAGAATGAGAGCAACATTGCATCAGTACAAGTAACTTTACTTACTTTCACGACACACTCCTGCAGGGCAGTACGAGAGATAGCAGCTCCATAATAGTTTGTCAAAACAGCATTTGAATCTTGCCTAAGTAGAAGACGATTTAGTTCTATTAGTAAAAGTTCTACTTCATCATCATTATGAACACTTTCAATGGATTTTCCTTCTCCAGTCAAAAGGTGAAGTAACTTATCAATATTCTCCCACTGCTCACAATCCCCATGACCTTCTCCACCTTGTCTGGCCTCTCTTTCTTTCTTTGTGCTATCAGTCAGTGCACCTTTTACTTCTCTAAACTGCTCAACAGTTGATAGTAAATTCTGTACCAAAATGATGTCAACTATCTTATGGTCAGAGAACCTACTCCACCTGTTATGTACTTCAATACAGCTAATGCAAAGTGATTCGTGGCACATTTTACAGTAGCCAGTAGCATTGCTTTTGTCACAGTTATGACATTTGGTCTCCTTCTTCATTTGACTGTGTATCTCTTTACACTTGACAAGGTAGAAAGCAGTAGGAAGGCCAGCTACTTCTCCATCAGGTACTTGTGTACGACAACGACAAGTAGGACAGAGAAATGAATGGGCATTCTCTAATTTCTCTAGACAAGTCTGGCAGAAAGAATGATGACAGGATAACATCTTAGGGTGGGTAAAGAATTCAAGACAGACAGAACAAGTGAGGAGCTCCTCTAGTATAGAGAGTGACGAAGTTGATTTGACAGCCATTTAAAATGTGGTTAGAAATAAGGGTTGAGGGAAACCTTTACAATTCATGGTCTACAATCAAAATACCAACAATAAACAACTTTTGAAAATGTCTATTGGAGGAGACAATAATTGTTGCAGAGTAGGCTACTATGTATCATACCAATAACTCAAGTATCATAAAGCATGACATATGTGTATGTGCCTGATATATGTATAAATTATATGTTTTACTATGCACAGAATGACTAAAAACAATGAAGCAGTTTTAAAATTAATAATAATAATGACTATTAATAGTAACACAGCAAACAGTCTCACAATTAATAAATGAAACAGGCTGTTGGGATAATAACTATTAGCTACATCAATAATTAATATTAATTTTAATACAGTATTAGTCTCTTGTTGTTAGAGTCATAAACATACATTACTCCATTACTATCGAATGTTATTACATTTGGATGATTGAACTGGTCAATATTAGTACCTTGACCTCCAAAACAACGAACAAAATCACCTCTAAAAGTGAATACTGAGATACGATGATTCCCACACTCTGTTATATAGAGGAGATTGCCAGTACCAACAGTAATACCATAAGGGTTCTTCAGTTGGCCAGGATCAGATCCCTGTGTGCCAAAAGTAGACAAATATTCCCCAAGATGAGTGAACTTTTGAATGCGATGATTACCTCCATCAGTGACATACAAAAACTCCTCACCATCAATGACTGCAATAGCGATACCATTGACTCCCTTGAACTCTCGATTGCCTTCTCCATTCTTGCCAAAGGAACGAATGTATCCTAGATCAGAAGACAAAATGTGAACTCTATCTCCATCAGCAATGTATATAGCCAGTGATAGATGAGGCTACAGCACAACTGGGACTGTTAAGAAAGTTAATAGGATCTGACATTGTTCTAACCAAAGTTCCTTTTAATGTCAAAATTTCAATAAATTGTTTTGATATCACAATGACATCATTTTTGGATGAAAAGTAAACATTGCGAGCTACTTTGTAAGTCTTAACAATAGAAGCAGCTGCTCTAGTAATATCCTGCGAATTAAAATATTTGATATCACAGTTCCAACGAAATTCAGCTACTGTATAGACTTGAGTGAACATAACAATGCCATTATTACCAACAACAACATTAGAACTTGTTGACAGTTTGCATATGGCACGAGCTGGAGCTATGGTATCAAAGTGAGGATTAAATGGAACCATCAGTGATACAGACTCAAGCTGCACATCATAAATATGAACTGATAAACTATGAGCACCACTAGCCAATGGACAGCAATCAACTTTATATATTCCAGGGGCACTAGTGGTTGTGATCTTATACTTATCTTTATGTTGCTCTTTTCCTTTGATGATTGGGATTAACCGACACTTGATTGAAGAGACTGGAATGACGACACGACCATAGGCAGGTAATTCAATAGACAAAGAGAATGACAGCAACCTTGAATCAGTGCAATTAACTTCATTCACTTTGATGGTACATTGCTGTAGGACAGTGCGAGAAATAGCAATAGCAGCTCCATCATAATCTTTGAACGCACTCAAATCTTGCTTAACCAGAAGACTGTTGAGCTCCATTAGTGATACAAATAGATGGTCTGCTTCATCATCTTTAGAAAGATCTTGAAAGGATTTTCCTTCTTCAGTTAAGAAATGTAGCAATTTGTCGATGTTCCATGATTGGTCATAATCCCTCTGACTTTCTCGAAGTGGCTTGGTCTCTCTTCCTTTCTTTATTCTATCAGTCAGTGCGCCCTTTACTTCTCTAAACTGTTCAACAACTGACAGTAAATTCTGTACCAAAATGACATCAACTATCTTATGATTAGAGAACCTACTCCACTTATTGTGTACTTCAACACAATTAGCACAAAGTGATTCGTGACACATTTTACAGTAACCGACAGCATTGCTCTTGCTACAGTTATCACATTTGGTCTCCTTCTTCATTTGACTGTGTATCTCTTTACACTTGACAAGGTAGAAAGCAGTAGGAAGGCCAGCTACTCCTCCATCAGGTAATTGTGTACGACAACGACAAGTAGGACAAAGAAATGAATGGGCATTCTCTTTTGGTAATTCCTCTAGACAAGTTTGGCAGAAAGAATGATGACAGGATAATGTCTTAGGATTAACAAAGAATTCAAGACAGGCAGAACAAGTGAGGAGCTCTTCTAGTATAGAGAGTGAAGAAGTTGATTTGACAGCCATTTAAAATGTGGTTAGAAATAGTCTAAGGGTTGAGGGAAGCCCTTACATGGTCGAAAATCATAGCAACAATAAACAATTAACTTTTGAAATGTTCATTGGAGGAGACAGTAATTGTTGCAGAGTAATTAGAATTAAACACTGATCTTGTGAGCAATAAATTTAAAGTTACTAATAAGTATAGCATACATGTACATTCTGGTGGGGCATAACAGGTCGTGTATGAGTATTTATTAATTTTAATAATGGAAAGAACTGTCATATAAACTCTGTCTTACTTGTTTCTTAGTATGAGTGATAGAGTATTATATGAAGTACTTGTAGATGAGGAGGGGGAGACAAATAATATGCACTGGGTGTGGCATGGCGACAACTATACATATCAAACCCCTACAATTAGAAAAAAAATAATTTAAAATCAACAAACATTTCGACATTGTGTGTTTGACAATTGACTGTGCAGTAGCTATCTAGATATGCTTGAGCTAATATATTATAATTAAGCAGGCAATAGGGTACATACAAGGTGATTATATTCCTAAGTCTCATGCCCACCTGTTTTAATACAATTAATATTGTTCAACCATGCATGTCCCTTACAGTCTTACTTTTTGTGAATATACTCTTCATGTTGAATCTACAGCTCTTGAGCTCCTTCTGGTTTCATTTATGCCTACCCAATTTGGCAAAAAAATAATATGACTGTTGAGTGGGTTTCTAAATTAGAAGGAAAAAAAATAGAAGTCTGCGACACCGGCGATTCCTAGGCGGTCACCCATCCAAGTACTAGGCCGGCCCGACGTTGCTTAACTTCAGTGTTCAGATGGGAACTGGTGCTTTCAACGTGGTATGGCCGCAGACACTTTTCACTGAACCAGAAGGATTCTTATAAGGAAAAACGAGAATAGATTTATTGCTTAAAAGATCAATAAAGTAAGATTCAGTTGCAAGATTTTCAAATACTTACTCCAGCAAAGGGGAGTTCTTAATTCCCATTCCATCCACATGATTTTGATCATTATTATCATAAATTTATCTTATATAATAATAATAATAATAATAACAATTGTAAGTTATAATAATTGTAATAAAAGTGAGACTGATACTCGTCCAATGTAATCATGACAACTTCCCAAGCTCCATTTTCTTCTTGAGGACCCGTCCACTATGATACAATAACTTGTCGATCATTCCAGCGACAGTAAAAACTCCGCCGACTATCGCACAAACGCTGGTAAGAAAATGAGTGAGGGAGTGCCTGTACTCAGTCAAGTATACAAGGATTGGGGAAATGTCATATATAAAGAAAACACCTAAAAAGAAAGAAAGAGAAAAGAAAGATCAGGATAACAAGTAAAATTGATTATGGCAGAGAAAAAGATAGAGAGAAAAACTAATGCCTCCAATTTAGTTCTACAATTTTAACGTAAGAAAATTTTCACAATTATTTTTGATAGGTTTTTATTTTATTTTATTTAGCATTCAAAGGAGCTTTGATACAAGAAATTACTAACCAGGTAATCCATGTTCACCAGAAGCTGATCTAACTGGTCTCTGATGCTTGGTAACTGCAAACTGATTAGTACCCATAGTCTCGTTATTCAACCTCCTGTACAGTGTTGGGACGACTTTTATAAAGTACTGATACATGATGCCACCTATCAAATAAGAAAGAGCTTCACTGATCGTACACGCCCCATTGCCATACCATGTGTAGTCTCAACGTCAAATGCTTTATGTCCATCAAGAGGGTTGATTATTCCAGGGTATTCTTGTCCAAAAGAAAGTTTGAGGACTGTGTGCGACATGTTGAAGTGTTTGACACCAAATGGTTGCAAATCATGAACTAACAACAGAAAAAATAATGATGTATTGAATTCCTGATCAGGAAATGATGCAATAATCGAACATAAAGTTTTCAAACAGTGGATAAGGAACCCATCATTGTTATTGTATGACAGCTGACAGATGCTTATAAAATGCAAATAATTCAACCACAAAAAAGCAAACGCTCACTTGTTGTTTAAGTTTTGGACTCCAAGTATTGAATGCCACTAACAAACACATTCAATTTCATTTACATGTACAATTATACATATACTACCTTAAGCCTACTATTTTTAGCGTCTACTAAATTTAGCGATATTAGCGAGAGAGCTTTAAATCGCTAAATTAAATAGACGCCAAAATAATTATTATTCATTATAATGGTTATTATTTATAGTTAATTTGGTTAAAAACGCTAAAATTAGTAACTCTAAACATGACTTTTGCTGATTTCGCTAAAATTAGTAGACGCTAATAATAGTAGGCTTAAGGTATACTACTGGTGCTAGTACATGTACATGTACAACGTACATGCATACACTTGTACTATTATACAGACTCTACTATAGTCCTTACCATGGACCGAATGCTGTTGAAAGCTCTTTCCAGGTGCAAAATGAAAATTCCCAGCTACCTTGCTAACATCAATAAGCCCGTACACTCTACAACCTTCGTTCATCTGCTCTTTGATCTGTGTGGTCCATCCCTCCTTCTCGCACTGCTCTATGCTAGACGGGTCACTAAAGGCCCAGCCCTTCTTCCTATAAGCCTCACGGACTTGCTCGCAAGTATTACAGCAACTCAGCTCAGGCGTCTCAGCCCCGTAGCAACTACCACATGTTTTATTAGCTGCCCCTGCTTTCCCATCTTGCGTCTCGTCTCGTGCTAGGACTGATTTGGTTGGACTCTCGTTTATCACTTCACCGTCAAGCGTCAATCTCTGCTTATACATTGTGTGTTCGACGTCCAGTTGATGCTCACCGGACACGTCCATTACATCTATACTGAGATCTATGGGATGGCAACAGTCATGTGATTAGCATGTGATTATTAGCATATTATGGTAAGGGCTTACAGAGGCAGGGAGCTCTGTGGAAGATTATGTCTACGTTTATTTGTAGTTTTTCGCCTCTTGAAGTATCGACATAGAGTTCTTGTTTTACCTACATGTACATGTACACATTATTATAGTACAAACAATGTGTCATAGTAAAGTAATCCGCCCACACCAGGGTTTACCATAAAGCACTAAAAAGCATCCTTCAACATATAAAGCAACTTTAAAAATTTGTAAAAAATTTAATATTGATCGGAATCGGCTCAAATTTTATATGCAACATACATACATGTAGATGTATATGTAAATATAAAAGTGAAAAATTATCTCCTTTTTAATTTTGGCAAAATTTGGCCCGAGGGACTTTGATCAGATTTTTTTAGCAAATTTAAAAATTCATAAAAAACCCACACACCACACATAATTAACTCCAACAATTTCTTTACGACAATCTTATTGTTTAACCTGGCCAAACCTCAACCACATGTTTGTAACACAATCATAAGCTGTAGTAATGTGGATCGTGTAATTTTTATCTTCACAAGTTGGCTAAAAATCTTACGTCTACAAGTAGTTTACATGCTTATTACATTCGCTCAACACAAGCTTCTTTAATGATCAAAATTAATTGCGAAATTTCTGATAAATCAAGCAAAGCTATTTTAAACATTATCTGACATTAATTACGTTAACAAAAGAGGCTTATTGCCATGCACAGACACAATAAGGCATTAAAAAGACACAACAGAGCATTCATTCACATGGTAAAAAAACTCACGTCAGTCGATAGGAAGTAAAGGAGCTCGGAGAGGAAGAGGAGTAGAATTATAATTGAGCTAACTAGAGTAACTAAGGATACAAAAGCACCAGTAATCAATATTTTAACAATTCATATGTTTTTACTTGTTGCCCCGCTAAATGTTTTTATCTTAAAGTCCTCCAGAGTCTTGGAATAAGCATCTAAGTTCTTTAACCGCCCAAGCATCGACGCCATTTTTTTACCTTTAAAAATGGTAACACCCACAAATAAAATTCATTAGACCACGCCCCAACAAAAAATAATAAAAATTGATTTTTTTTCTCTTTTTTTGCATTAATTTCACAATGATGAATATAACAGTCAAGGGGTATCATATTATTATTCTTTTTCTGAGGCTGTCCATCTCCACCATGTTGCCTTCATCCTGTCCCAAACGGCAGAAAAGGAATCCAGGGCTGGTCTGACATCCAAATATATAGGAGCGTCATTATTAGGAGTCGGTTCACATCCATAATAATCAATAACGTAACGCACATGACGACCACATCTATCCACTATCCAATCGTGACGATCAAAAGGTAACTCATACCTATATTGACATGTGTAGTAATGATACTAATAATAACAATAGCTATGGGAGACATTGCGTTGCTATGACAATGGCTAATGACATAATAAGGTTACATGCATAATTAGGTGTAGAGTTTGATATAAAGTGAGTAATTGGTAGCCGTCTACACTAAAATAAAGCCATTACAATACCTAATGTAGTGTCTCCTGGTTAAACGTAGACACTTCATAGAAATGAGGTTAGAAATCTCAATCACAGCTACATGTACATACAAAGTGTATTATTGTAACAAGCAAGCCTCAATATAAATTGTAAAATAATAATATTAATTTCTAGATATTACACTGACCCCATCCAATATCTGAGTCTAGCACGAGGTGTGAAATCCTTTGCTCTGCCTCTAAAACTGACCAGTTTAGGTGAGGTACATTCGCTATATTAAATACAAGGCAATAGCAACAAAGAGTTTGTTATTATTCAGTATTCATGTGTAGCTACATACTGGGCGTGGAATTGCTCCCATTTCAAAACTTCTCTCCAAGCTTCCTCGTTATTTCGGTTGTGAATGGATATGATGTGCTTCATGTCTTCTTGTTTCAGTTCTGCCTCTGTCCATTTCCAGCCCTTCAAATGAAAGAGAATGTGCATACCATATACAACGTAATAGCAAAAAATTTAACTTTGGTCGCCCAAAATTCAATAATTTTTGAATAGCAAAATTTTAAATCCATACAATTAAATTTTAGAAAAAATTATATAACTCTACATAATATTACATAATACCTAATGTACCTTTCGTGTCATGGCATTGAAAAACATTTGCTCCGAGGGGTAGACCCATTTATCGTCTTTGTCTCCACCAGACTTTGGAATGCTGGACACTTCCCTTTCCTTGGACAGAGGGAATGGCTGTCCTGGCAATGGGTCTTGACTCAGACGTGGAATCTTTAATAATAATTGGTATTATTAATTATGGTGAACCCTTTATTCACTGTACCATATTTCTAGGATCTAATTCTTCACCATCTTTTCCTTCCACTTTCCTCTCCTTCGACATAGGACAAGAACCATCTCTCTGCTCCTTTTTCACTGGGCACTCTGCCGCCATTTTAAATAAATCAACAGAGTTAGGGGGTTAATTATTGCTGCGGTTGCAGTGCTAGCTGCACTTGCATGCAGGAAATGATGCAAAATGGCTAGACAGTCTGTTGTATCATTACGCGTATGTTAGTATAGTAGTATTAGCCCTTTCTTTATAACAACACGTGAAATATACAGGACTTTATATGATCTAGTTTATTTTCCTGAAAGAGAGTCAAACTGAAAAGTAGGACGCAGTTGAGATTCAAAAATTAAACCTACACGCCAGAGAGAAAAACAAAGAAGCAAAAGATGAGCTTGCCCGATCTACTCAAAGACGTCAACTCGGCAGAGACGCCAGAGAAAAGCTCTGCCCCACAACTACTAGTCTGTTCTATGAAGTACGACGGAGAAGTAGGAGGTCCCTGTAAACCAAAGAAACTGCCTCTGAGAGAAACCATGAGTGCTGGAGGTGGAATCGGACATGGTCTTGGGTCCACGCTAGGCACCATCAATTCTGCTGTCACTGATTTCGACTGGGAGAGCGACTCACTTAGTTCCTTAGACGAAGGAGAAGCAGCATGGGACGCCCTGGGACGTATGAACTCCATCAGACGATCGAATCGCTTTGACAAGCCGCAATTACTGACTGTGGAGCTGAAAAGAACTGCTGATGGTTTCGGATTGGAGCTGGAGGGTCGCTCACCCCCTCTCATTCATGCTGTCTGTGAGTGTTGAATGAATGAGAATAACAGTGAATCGATTTGTGAAACACACTCTAACATGCCTTTACTACACTTTCAGCCTGAAAAGACATTTTAACGATTATTTTGACTATTGTAAATGTTGTAACTATTGAGTGCATAATTATTATTGAGCACATGATATTAGTGTAATCGTCCTCTCATTTCTCCTTTGTCTCTCACTCTTTCTTCTCTCTCTTCCTCTGTAACCTTCCCTCCCTCTCTCTCTCTTCCTCTCTCTAGCTGGTGAAGCCGAAACCAAAGGATTAAGAGCAGGTGATATCATCCTTGAAGTCAATGGGGTTAGTGTCAGAGAGTACAGTCACCAAGAAACTGGTAGACTCATAGCAAAAGATGGAGCCACTGGTGTCATACTACTAGTACGGACAGTCAAACCGACCATAACTCCTAGTGGAAAGATAGTGTATGCTGACTGGCTGTATAAAAAAGGAGGCTCGGGGTTTGCCGGTCGTTCGTGGAGAAAGCGATGGTTTGTAGTTAGAGATGACTGTGTTGCATACTATTACCCAGCAGCTGAAGTAAGTCTGAATGAATGAGGGAGGGAAAGGATTGTGGGTTTGTTATTGTGAGAGTTTGTTGATTCTATAAAGAGAGAGAGAGGGCAATCATGTGTGTATAGTAGATATAGTAGTAAGAGAGAAAGATGGCTTGATAATAGCAAGTGTATAGGTTAGATTGGATGTTGTATGATACAGGAAGTCTTAGAGTAAACTTTTCTCACACTCAACATGATTGCATGTACAGTACATGTTGTGTATCTTGTACTGTCCAGTGAGTCATTCCACTGTTATGAATTGATCTAAGTATGTTTAGCATTCTTTCCATTAATAATTATCTTTACCTATAGCCATGCTTCAGCCATACTATCCTAATCGGCCTCGTTAATTAATTACATTGTATCTATTATACGACTCATTACTTCATTGCCTGAGTCCATTAACTCTCTCACTGTAACTCTTTCCCCTCCAGGAGAACATTAGGCCACTCGGTGCTGTTGTTCTACATAACTACACGATCAGTAAAGCAGCGAATGAGAGCAAGAAACTTTATTGTTTCAAGGCTGTCAAGGGAGGAGCAAAGATGTATCTGTTTGCAGCTGAAGACGAAGCAAAAATGAATAGGTGAGATACGTCTGCACGCACAAGCTAGAGCGTTGATAGTCCTTTGATTCCATTTATGAGTGTGTTATGTTTACTTCGTCATTTGCTGTGTTTGTGTCTGCCTGCCCTTGTATCATTTTAGCTGTTATGCTGGTTTGTTGTTATTCTTGAGTTGACACTGCTAATTAGTCACTCTCTCTCTCTTCTCTCTCTCCTCTCCTTTTACAGGTGGGCTCAAGTCTTCACAGAGGCAGCAAATTTGGAAAACAGGGTAAGCTGTGTGTTCATTTACCTATAATGGTCAGTAGCGTTGATGACATGCTTGTTTCAGTTGTTTGCCAGCATAGGTAGCATTATTTCTTGATAGAATAAGTTTATGTATATCATTGATTTATATATTATATATAAGGTAATGCTTGTTTGTACAATGACTTGGTTGGCCAATTATTGTTGCTGCCAAAGTTGGCAGACATAGTTCCTGGCCCTTTGGGAAGGATGCGTCCTTGAATTGCCTCACTACATTCTTGTGGGGAGATAGTCTGCTGTTCATAAAAACCACAGAGCCACTTCCCTGACCATGAATCATGATAAAAGTGATTGAATGACATAGGCACATTGATACAGCTGTCACAACTTTGTACAAGGATGGGGCCACATTTACATTTATCTGTGCCCTGTTTTTACACCACTTTTCCCTATTGTGTATCTTAGCAGTTATCTCTCTGGTTGTGTGGCCTCGTTACATGTACAACAGTAGTTGGTAGCTGGTACTGTACTGCTAGGGAAAAGACATCAATTGGGGATTGGCTTTAATAAACATTACTGAAATAGTTGAAGCTTTTTATTTCTGGCACACTGTCTCTGTCTGTCCCTTATTTAATGTCCTCCCTCTCTCTCTTCTTTACTTTCTCTTCTCTCTCTCCTCTTTCTTTTCCTCTCTCTTTCCTCCTCCTCTCTCTCCTTTTTTTAACAACAGGAGCAAGTACACATTACAGGGAGTGCACAAAATGTCAGTGTCAGTGCCCTTTCAATCAAGAACCCAGAGTGTCACGGGTTCCTCTACAAGCAGCAGGGGAGAGGGATATTAGGATGGAAGAGAATATACTGCATCTTAAAAGTAAATGATAACTCCATCTGCTATCTATGTTATTATGTCAAGTATTGTTTTTACTTTACCCTGTAATAATAAATGTTGTTGTTCCTCGCAAGTAGAAATTTTTGTCCCTGCATCACAAATTCACAATTAGCCTTGCCTATACCTTAAGAAAAGACCATTATGTCATATTACTGTAAAAGTGTCAAGTTATAGTCATATTTAAAATCCAATTGATTATAATGTACATGTACATGGAATCTTATGAAATGTTATTTTTATCTTCAGGATAGAATAATAGATATAACGTATATAGATTTCGCGTAAGTCGATAAGTAATAGAATTATTAATGACAAAGCCTCACATTGACCTGTTGTTGTGAGGTTTGCTGATCTAATTTATAAACAGGACGCTGGATTATCTACCACAAACTTTTTAAAATTTAACGTACCTCATCGTAGTAGTTAGGAGAGGTAGCATGTAATGCACTTTGTACCTACATATATTTGTTTGCCTATTGTGAATTGCGGACTTATATAAACATAATAAACTTAACTGACTCATTCTCATAAAGTGCAAGTCTTGAAAAGGCCAAGTACATACAGTGCACATTATGCAGTCATTGGCCTATGCATAAACACAATTATGCTCTTTGTACTCTCTCATTCATGCATGCTTTTGCACTCTGTCTGTGAATCAAGCACACAAGCATTTAATATACACACAAGATCAACGTACATGTACATACACGTAGCCTATCATATCTACATGTACATGTATGCATGATAATAATAGTACCAGTACATCAATAGTTCGACATGCATGTAGTAGATTTTAAATCACATAATTTTGGTTATAGTTCCCATTTTTTCTGAAAGATATATTACTCTGTTCTTTTGCTCTTTCTTTCTCTCTCTCCCTACAGTGTAGACAACTCTTTTTCTATTCCAATATGGCTGACCGAATGGCACTAGGCGTCCTTAACTTGGACACTTATGAAATCTCAAGCGGAAAAAGCAAAGAAAAGAAGTTTTATTTCCATGCCGTCCCTGCGTACTCTTCCTTGAAAAATGTTAACTTTTATGTCGAGACAGAAAGCGAGAGAGAAAGGTCAGTTGATACACTTTAGCCCGTTGCTCACGATATCCTGTTTTTGTGTTCGTGTGGGTCAAATCGTGATTGCCAGAATCATGTGAATAGTTAAAATTTTTGACTTCCTTCACAGGATGTGTTGGCATAATGAAATAACTAGGAAATGCTTGTGTCTTGTGATGTGACTATCATGTGCCTTTCTTTAGTGTTTTACTCTTGTTTGGTCATTATTATTTTGGTGTCCGAGTTTGATGTAATTTCCTTTTTTTAATTTTAGATGGTTGGACAGCATTGCTAAATCAACTCAAGGTCCCACTCCTCTCCAAAGAACTACATGAACTCTCTCTCTATATATATATTTATATAATATCATATATTTAGCCATTTATTATTATTATTATTATTATTCTGTATAATCTTTCTCACTCTTTTCTCTCTCTCTCTGTACAATGCTCCTTCAATTAATATTTAATTATTCATTGATTTATGCATTATAGCGTAATAAACAGTAATAGCTAGCTGATGATTATGAATATGATTTAATAGTGCAAGAGAGGTCACCCCACTTTCTGGAAGCAAGTAACATCTTTAAAGCAGGAATGGCCTTCGCTGCTGTTGCAACCTATCAAGATGAAGCAGAGAGCAGGACCCCGGCTGCTCCCGCATCTCCTCCTCAGTCTGCATGGTCCGGAGAGGCCATGAGCTACACTAGGGCCGAAGTCTCAAAGCACAAGAGGTCCAATGATTGCTGGATTATCATTGAAGGGCGTGTGTATGATGTGAGTGGGTGGCTGGATAAGCATCCTGGAGGGAAGAGGATCATAAGACACTATGCAGGGGAAGATGCATCGGTAAGAGCCTTGAACCAAATGAGTCAAATGATGCTAGTATAATTGCAAGGTGGTGGAATTTCGAGTATGGCTTGTATCGTATGCTTGTAGACCATAAAATTGAAATAGCGTTATCAAAATGTCATTTTATGCTACAAATTCTACAATGTATTACAACAAGCAAACTAATAGCTGCTGTGCTTTCTCATTTTTTGCTATCGCTATTCCCACATTCTTTTAATTTGCTCTCTTCTGATCTCTTTCCCACTCTCTCTCTCTCTCTCTCTCTCTCTCTTTCAGCTTGCATTCGAGTCGTTCCACAATAATAAGAAGCTAGTAAGGTCTTACCTGTCAAAGTATTACATAGGGGACATTGTTGAGGAGGAAAGGGAACTCCCTGAGATCAATAAAGACTTTCTTAAACTGAGACAAGAACTTATTGAGAAAGTGAGAGAGGGAGAGAGTGAGCGAGAAAAAAAAAGAGAAGAGAGAGAGAGGAATAAAAAAGAAATGATACTACATATGAATTATTTTCTTTTAGGGTTTCTTTAATGTGAAGCCTATGTACTTCATTCTTCTCTTCCTCCATATTGTGGTCCTTGAGATATTGGCATTTGTTATTCTATGGAAGTTTGGAAATGGCTGGCCTGCATATGCCATGTCTGTACTTTGCCTTGTGATATCACAGGTACCGAGAAATGTAGCAGTAATGTCATCATGTAGGAATTATTATTATTATTATTATTATTATTATTATTATTATTATTATTATTATTATTATTATTATTATTATTATTATTATTATTCTTAGTAATGGTATCATGTCATTTTTTTATTATTGATGCATTCTTAATTTGATGTTTCCTGAATTTACTTAATCATAAAATGACATCCACAGCTATGATATCCTTTTATATTGTGTATCTACATCTACTACTGAGTATTGAGTAAAAATCTTTTTTTAATTTTTTCATTCTCCCTTATTTTCTCCTTGCTAGGCTCAAGCAGGCTGGCTGCAGCATGACTTTGGTCACAGAAGTGTATTCAACAGTACTACATTGAATAAGGTTGCTCACGATATCTCTATTGGCTGGTCTAAAGGCGTCTCGAGTAACTGGTGGAACTTTCGTCACTATCAGCACCATGCCAAGCCAAACGTGGTAAGTCCAGTGTGCTGCATTATATTATGTAACTTTAGGTGTACAATGACTATATATGGTATTAATAGCAGTACCAATGCTCATGGTTGTTTTACATGTGTAACACTAGGTATTCTATACATACACACAGCTGTGCTTGTATGTTTTGTGTATACCTGTACAGGCTCATTAATTGAACTATTTAACTGTTAAATCTGCCACCCGCTCACATCCCATAACCTTTATTAATTACTGGTACACTATGCACACGTAAGCATCACTTGTATACCCTTTAGGATTATACCCCGAATGCCTAATAAGCAATGTAATAAGCAATGTTGTCAGTAACTGTAATTACACAAAGTATACATTCACAATACGCCCCATTCTAATGTCATATGTGCAAACAAATAACCAAATGGTATTTATTTTGAGTTTATCTGGCTTGTTTAGTCCCAGCTAGCCATGCATGCTTCACATCACATAGTGAAGGTTTGTGTTAATTATGTAACGTGATGCAATATGATGTAATGATATTCGTGTTGTTATTTTTTTGTAGTTTTTCAAAGACCCCGACGTTACCATATCTTATGCTTTTCTTCTCGGAAAGAACATCCCAAGGATTGTGAGTTTGAGCATCATTCTGGTATTTATTACTTTTTGTTTTTTTTTTTTTTAATTCAAGTGGGGCGAGAGGAAATGGGGGATAATCCCATACCACTGGCAGCATAAATATTTCTTTTTCAGTAAGTACTGGATAAAAGAGAGTTATAAAGGGAGAGACTAAAATGGAGAGATAGTGTGTTACTTCATCCTAATATTTACTCTCAATTCCGCATACACACAGCTCTCCCTCCATTGCTCCTTCCAATATACTTTCATGTTGATGTTGTCATTTATCTTGTGCTGAAAAGGAAGTGGCAGGTAAGGGAATGACTCCAAGAAGAGCCTTCACGTCTGACGCCATTACTTTAATAAACATCTTCAAATAGGATTTCCTTTGGATGATAACATTTGCTCTTCGATGGCACTTAATGTTTGCTCCTTTGCTTGGAGGGTTCTGGCCTTCGTTCAAATTTTACTTCCTCATCAGGTAAGATATGATCCTCATTATTAAAACTGTTATCATCATTGATGTGTGAATATTATTATAGATTTCTGGAGAGTCACTGGTTCACTTGGGCTACACAGATCAGTCATATTCCGATGGACGTCGACACTGACAAACGTAGAGACTGGTGCAACTTACAGGTTAGAGAAACAGGTCTGACGGTCGAGTGAGCTTACATCTATCTTTTTATTCTTTTATGCATGCTAGCTCTCTGGGACCTGTAATGCAAGATCAAACTGGTTTGCCGACTGGTTCCTTGGACATTTGAATTTTCAAATAGAGCACCAGTATGTTTGTAGTACATGTACAGATGCACATACTAATATTCTTTCATTGTCTGATGTCATTTTATTTATTCTATTTTTTAGTCTATTCCCTACAATGCCCAGACATAGTTTTAAATCAGTGCAACCTTATGTTATGGAGTTCTGTAAGAAACACGGTCTGGATTACCAACTCAAGCCTATCTGGACGGCTTTTGCTGATATTGTTCGGTCGCTGAAAGTGTCTGGGGAGATATGGTACAATGCATGGGAAACTTCAGAACTGAGAAAAAAAGATTAAAATAATCTCATTTTTGATGATAATAATAATCCATTATTATTATTATTATTGACTGAGTGTACATCACTTTTTAGCTTATTTAAATTATTTTTCAGTTGTTTTTTGTTTTTGTTGACAGCTGCAGTTTTTTAAATATTTTTATGAGTTTTTAAAGGTGATGAATGAAAAACGTGTGATAAAGTGGTCAAGTCATGTGATAATAATGAAATAAAAGCAGCATTCACGTAATAGGGACCATTTTTGTCATCGGAATGTTATTCTTTTTAATGCACGTGTCACATGCCCACTCTGCACTGTCCTCTCTCGTCAGGAGGTCGTAAGCATTCTTACTCATCCCAGCACACTGCCTGTGATACCACTTGTCACAACCACTCTCGCACAATATACCTACAAATAATAATAATAATAATAATAATAATAATAATAATAATAATAATTTTTTTTTAAATTAACTACTTAATTAGAACTATATTTTCATTTGATTCTATTTTATTATTCATTTCTTTTTCTTTGTCCCTCTTTGCTTGTCCAGTGTTTTCTTCGTTTTGTTTTGTTTACTTTCCTGCTGTTGTTGCTTTTGTTTAATAATAATAATAATAATAATAATAATAATAATAATAATAATAATAATAATAATAATAATAATAATAACAATAATAATGATAGGTTGTTTTTTTTTGGTTTTTGATTTTTGTTAGGCCGATAATAATAATAATAATGGTGATAATGATAGTGATAATAATAATAATAATTTTTTATATTATAACAAGAAATATAACAGAATAAGGTGGACAAGAAATATAGCAAGATAAGGCAGAACATAATATTAATATAATAAAATAAAATAAGTCAATAGTAGATTTGATAAGTTTAGTGTTTACTGGTGAGGACAGATAATAATAATAATAATACTAATAATAATAATAATAATAATAATAATAATAATAATAATAATAATAATAATAATAATAATAATAAAGCTAGAATATTGATGAAACACATGAGCGTCGAGAACTAGAACATCTAAGTTTATTTATTATAAACTGATGAGGATGTGTCCCAATTATAGATTTAATTGTGTGGTTTTATGAAAATAATAATAATAATAGTAATAATAACAATGGAAAGGATTAGGTGATTTCATCATTTGCTACATGTAAGGTTCAATACAGGTTTGCTTACAGTTTATCACTGATCATGATCATCAGTATTTAAACCTGTTCTGTATTATGTATAACTATGAATCTATTTTTAAAAGGTACTGCACGAGTTATTCTGAAGTTAGTACGTTACATACAATGAGGTTGTACTCGTTTTTCAAGTGTTAGTGTGCATAATGTCACATACATGTACATGGACATACCCTCATCTTCGTCTTTAACTTCTTCAAAGCATATACCACAAGGAAAGTCCTTCAATGGAGGAGGAGGAGAAGGAGTCAATTCTTCATCTTCTTCTTCCTAGAGAGTGAGAGAAGGCATGGATATCATGACTGCTATAGTAGTGTAAAATCAAAATAAACATACCTCAACTTCAGAATTGTCAGACATTTTTATTAAGGTTTAGTCTATTAACTTTAATAAGTTAATTAAAAGTTCTAATTAGAGAGCACTCGGGTCACGTGACACCCCCAATGGGCGTGTCTTAGTAAAAATACGCAGATCCACATGTGTCAATGATGGCTGCTGTTCACATCAAGCATTTCACACACAGTTATATATCAACTGCTGGTCAGCTAACGGCTAGGTAGGAGAGAGACGAGAGAGGGGGAGGGTAGAGGTAGTGTCTGTGAAGAGAAAAAGCGAAAGAGCTTCCTTTAAGAACCTCTCCTCTAGATTAAAAGGCTTGTGTCAAGAAGGGAGTAGTAAAAGCGACCACTTTTTGTAAGTTATGATTCTATAACAACCTTTCTTAGCCATTTACATTTGGAATGATTTATACATACCTTTCTGGTACCTTTGCTCCTCTTTACTGTGTTTCTGCTGTTAGACCTGATGTACCAGGTGTGTCTGTGAAAGAGGTCATTGTCGCTACGACCCATTTTGTAATTCTAACGGACGACGGTCGTATCTATCGTATCCCTTACTCTCTCGCCAGCGAATCGAAAGACAAGAGGTGGGTGTGGTTATAAATTGACTGGGTGTGGTTTCATTAATTGGTATTACAGTGGAGATGATGATGGAGCATCCACTAGCAGTGTTCTATCTGGGTCTAGAGGTGGCTCTCCTAGGGCCACTGAACAGGACGTCGCTTCAGGATCTGCTACTGGATCGAGTCAAGGTTTTTCATCTTTTGCGTAAGTGACAGTATACATGTACATGTACATGTAATTGTTAATTTCTCGTGTATAATGAATTGCTCTATCTCTCTATTTATATTTTTGCTTTTTGTTTCTAAACTCTTTCTCTTTCTCTCTCCTACTAGTCAAAGGTTCAGTAGCCTGATATCAAGGAGAGGTAGACTGGCTGGTAGGAGGATAGTGGTTGAGAGGAGGCCGGAGAGACTAGGGAGGACCCTCATCCAACGTACTCCAGTGGTACCAGCATCAGAAATACCAGAGGAACTCATCGAGGAGGCACTCTCTGTACTACAAGGGAAGTCGAGAGAAGTTGTGGTCAGGGAACTCCAAAGAACAGTAAGAATTGATTGAGATACACATGTACAGTACTTGTGCATCATGAGGTATACATGCAGTAGTTGTTTGTGTTTCTTTTGTTGGCTAGTAAGGTTTACTAATTGGTACAGTGAAGGTTGAGTATTGGCTGTTATTTTATTATAGTAGAACTTACAAACTATCCCTCTCTTTTGTTCCATTCACATGTACATGTGTATACTAACTATACTTATTGTACAGTACATGTGCAAGTAGTACATGTACATAGTAATGAAGTTTTTTTTTCTTATTTTTTATTTTCTGTTCCCTCTCACAGAATCTAGATGTCAATACTGCTGTCAATAACCTCCTCAGTAGAGATGATGATGATGATATAAATGATCACGACGACCTCCCCCTAATGCCCTCTGGCGGTAAGTCGCCCGTAACCATAACAACAAACCACACCCCTTTTATAGACGAACTCCTAACTCTCCTTGGCACCGGAGCACTAGCAGAAGAAGACATGGAGGAACTGCTGGCTATATCAAGTAGCCGCAGCCGAGAGGAAGGCTACAGGAGAGAGACCGGTCGACCATCGTCTATTTATCACGACTCGCTCGTGGCTCAAGAGATTCGTTCGTGGGTGACACTGGCCGACCGTGCGGCGACCGGTAGCCCATCGACTGCCACTGGTGGTACCTCCTCCTCGGGCGGTATAGGAGGAGGGGCTAGTAAGAGTAAGAGTAGCTCACAGTCGGTGAAGGAGGGAGGGTCAGCAGCTGTACACTTTGGGATGCAATCTTGCTGGGGAGAGAAAGAGGTGTGGTACACTCATTATTAATGTACATGTAAATGTATATTTAGCTATATTTCCTTTCTTAATTATTGTGTTTGTCAACTTGCAAAGTAAAATCATTAATTTACATTACTGATGTAATACCTGTACTGTACCAACAGTGCCATACTTGTATTTATCATGCTATAAATAGATACAGCATGTATTACATCATCAGACATTCTGTCTTGCTTGTGATGTCTCATATCAAAGGATTACACGGAATTCTTTTCTTTAAACATTTTTGTCCTCTGATGTATCCCTTTAAACTTCTTTGATCTTATCTCTTCTTGGTTTTCTCTCTCTCTCCTCTCTCTTTCTCTCTTCTCTCTCTCTCTTCCTAGAATGTTAAACATTTCTCTTTAATTGCTGCCACATCCTCCGAACTATTGGCTGTGGACACTGAGGGCAGACTCTATGGTTGGGCATGGTCATCCCCAACCCCTCCCACATCCCCACACCCACGTTCTGCCGAACTGGGTCTTGAAAACGAGAGAATACGTCTACTATCAGCCAGGGTCCTAAGAGCTACTGCTGTGACTGAAACTGGAAAGATAGCAACATGGACTGATCCTGCTGTGGCTAAGGTAGCCAGGAGTATAGAGCATCCAGCAACAAACTACCAGGAGCTTTCAGGAGAGACTATAGTCTATCTTAATGCTTGTGAACTGTTTACTTCTGTTTTTACTGAGTCGGGAAAAGTGTTTTGGTGGTAAGAGAGAGAGAGAGAGAGGGGGGAGTGGTAGAGAAGGAGAGGAAAGTGTCTATGTATTGATTGGTGCTGTTATTTTATATGGAAAGTTTGAATCAATTTCAAAATGACCAATGTTTTACACCTGCCAAATCTTATCATCACTTGTGCTGTACATGTACATTGTAAAACCAATTTTTATTATAGCACTTTTGACTTCAGAAAATGTGCATGTACACATATGTACATGTAATAATTTTTAATTACAGGGGCGTACTCCCATTCCTCGAGAGGAAGATACTAATAGCACAGGCTCAAGAAAAGAACAGGTCCTACTCTGGCTCAACGACCCTCGGGGGGTCACGTCACGATCACATTCACGAGGGGTCCCAGGTCTTTCTCAGGTCCCGCCCGGTCTACTCGGCCGGTTGCCGTGGGATACACGTCAAAGGCTCCTCCCTAAAGTGTGGGGAGCTCATGGAGTCAGTTTTTTCTTTGAACGAGAAGTGTCGCTTTAGAATACTCTCCAATAACGATAGACCACCTGGTAATAATGGGGAGACTCCAATGGAAACTGATAAACAACAAGTGGGCGGGGCCACACCAGTACCAGGTTAATAATTAATCAATTATTTTACATGTAATTTTTTAAACATAATTGTACATGTACATGTATGTGTACATTTACATAATTATGCATTATAAATTATTAGGTAATTTATGTATAATTTTTAATTGTACAGTATATGTGTACGATCTTGTACATGTAATTATGCATTTATATATATATATTTTTTTTTTTAGGCTCTAAAAGGCGTCGTCCATCAGATGATGACGAAACTGATGACAGCCGGAGGGAAGAGCTCTGGTCGCTACGTGACGTCATATTCTTGACTCCGCCCCTTTCCTCCACCCCTCTCGGCTCTGTCATGAAACTGGATGGACTGTATGCTGCCGTGTTGTTCCCATCACTCGCTGACCAAAAGGAGGCGGAGTCTGAGAGCAAAGACAAGAGCGTGTTGTCACAGTGCAGACTATTAAGAAAAGACGATTTACTAGTAATGATAATGATATACTGTGCATGTATTTATGTTGCGTAAAAACTTTAAATGGATTCTGATCAAGTTTGGATTTTTTACGAATTTTAAAGTTGTTCCAAAATCTGGCCAAAGTCCCTGTACTATAGTACAGGGACTTGGGCCAAATTTTGTCAAAAATGGCAAGGAGAGAATTCTTCATTTTTATAATTTTTTTCTCATACATATACATGTTTTTATGTTGTGTAGAAAGTTTGAGTTGATTCTGATCAAGTTTAGATTTTTTACGAATTTTTAAAGTTGCTCCAAAACTGGGTGAGAGTCCCTGTACTATAGTACAGGGATTTTGGCCAAATTTCATGAAAAATGACTAGGAGAGATTTTTTATTTTTATAATTTTTTCTGATACATATACATGTTCTTATGCTGTGTAGCAAGTTTGAGCTGATTCCGATCAAAATTGGATTTTTTACGAATTTTTAAAGTTGCTCTAAAATTGGGCGAAAGTCCCTGTACTATAGTACAGGGATTTTGGCTGAATTTCATGAAAAATGACTAGGAGAAATTTTTTATTTTTATAATTTTTTCTGATACATACACATGTACTTATGTTGCGTAGAAAGTTTGAGTTGATTCCAATCAAGTTTAGATTTTTTACGAATTTTTGAAGCTGCTCCAAAATCAGGCGAAAGTCCCCGTAATTTTACCAAAAATGACTAGAAGAGAATTCTCCATTTTTTATTGATACATCCATCATGCATGTTGTGTAGAATATATTTTTACATGTAATGAATGTTTATAGTTCATTATTTGTGGTGTGTACTTTGTACATGTATAATGTTCATGTACTGTAGGTGGTTCCACCCAGTGGTATGCAAGCTGATGTGCTAACAGTCCAAGCTGCTCCAAAGAGACTAAAGCTACCAGCAGACAGCACTGTACTAGCATTATCCTCCGATGTAAAAGGAATATTTGGTATCTTATCAAATCAAGGTACACACTGCATACAATTGTACGATTGTACTTGTACATACATGGTTCTATTAATGTTTTTTTAATATTGAATGATATATGTACATGTACAATGATTGTGTACATGTACATGTAGTTGACTGCAATTGCATTTATGGTTGTAATTATTAGTAACATTTTCTCTGGTGTACATATACACATTTACATGTATTTATTATTTCCTCATTATTATTGTATAGGTACTCTTACTTGTTGTAATTTCAGTCTTGAAACTGCTAAACTCTCACTTTCTTCGACCTTCCCCGAGCCTTCGTCAAAGTTTCTTTCATCTCAGCTCTTGCCTCGCCCACAGACACACCCACCACCAATGAAACTGATACCCCTTGGTCTCTCACTCTGGCTCCTTGTTGATTCATCGGGTGGTCTGTACCCTCTGGCTAAGGACAGCATGGGGGGAATGAAACAATTACCTTTACTGGTTGGTAGAGGGAGAGAGGGAGGGAGGAGAGAGGGAGAGGGAGGGGAGGGGAGGGAGAAGGAGAGAGGGAGGGGAGGGAGAAGGAGAGAGGGAGGGAGAAAGAGAGAGGGAGGGAGAAAGAGAGAGAGGGAGAGAGCGAGAATGGGATAGTTACATTATATTTAGACTACATGTATATCCTTTTCTTAATTGTCTGTAGAATTTGCCACCTGTTCAAGCCATCACTAGTACTCCTTATTCATCAAAGCAGCTGCTGGTTGCTATGGTATTCCAACCACAGAGACTAATACCATTACTGAGACAAGGAAACGTCCAGACACTGAAGGACTTTATGCAAGCATTGCCTCCATCAGGTAATTGTATTATTAGTTTCTTAATGAGATTATTGTGACACTGTGTCTGGTCTGATTTACATGTACATGTGCATGTACATTGTACCTCTATTTTACCCTAGATACATGTACATGTAATGTGCACCTATCTTGTTACATGTACATGTATGTACAATGTACACCACTTAATTTCTCTTTTCCTCTCTCTCTCTTCCTCTCTTCATAGAAATAGACCAGTATCTCAAAGAGAGGACTCACGGTGGTTGTAACATTATTCATTTGCTAGCATCACTAGCTGCTCCCTCTCGCCCCCCTCCCTCCTCCTCCTCCTCCTCCTCTGCTAATACTGGGAGGGGTAGGACTGGATTTCGGGAAATGATGCACCACGCGCTCCAACTAGCATCAACCTCAGGTAGACCTGGTAATTCATTATTGGGAGAGGTCTACATGTATATCATATTACACATACATGTACATGTACAATAGATTAATGAAATTAATGTGTACATAGAATTCATGATGTTTTAGACTATTATAATAATTGTACATCTTACTTGCAAAAAAACATGACTATTTGACATGTACATGTACATGTACATGCATGTACTGTACATGTACTGTATGTATACATTTACTTGTACATTAAACTTATAAATCATTTGTTACATATATTTTAGAATCATCTCGTTTGTGGAGTGTTGGTTTGGAAGGGAGTGAAGAGGAGGTAGAGGATGTGTCTGATAAAGAGGATAAAGGCTCGTCTGCTCCTCTGGCTCTACTCAATCACCTCTCAACTTATTTCTCTCTCTTCCATGACACTTTCCTTGATCTCATGTCTGAGGTTAACCTAGCTGGTTATACTCCTTTCATGACAGCTGTAGCCTGCAAGGTAATCAATATATAATTAACCATATCTTGCATACAAATTCATGTAATACATGTATATGTACATGTATTTTGTGTACTAATTCTTCTTTTTCTCTTAAAATTGCTTCCTCTCCTCTCTCTCTTTCTGTACTATAGGCTTATGGTGTAGCTCAGTATCTGTTAGAGTTAGGTCGGGCTCTGGCTGAAGGAGAGGAGGATCTACTGATGTCCATGTTCTTTCCTCCCGGGAGTCATCCTGATGATAATCCTCTCTTTATACTCTGTCGTAATGATCCCTGCTCTTTCACTTGGACTGGAGAAGATCACATTCATCAAGTAAGAGAGAGAGAGAGAGAGAGAGGGAGAGAAGGGGAAGAAGATTCATTAGAATTTAAAATACATGTAACTATGATAGAATACAAAGTTCCCTTATATACATGTGCATATAGATTGTATCTCTCTTCTTTCCTTAGGATATATTTGAGTGTCGTACCTGTGGTCTTGTAGGCAGCCTCTGCTGTTGTACTGAGTGTGCTTATTCCTGTCATCGCGGTCATGACTGCTCCTTCAAGAGAGCCTCTCCCAATGCTTACTGCGACTGCTGGGAGAAGTGCAGCTGTCAGGCTCTAGCTCAGGGCGATGATGGAGCTAGGATGACACTCCTTCTCAAGCTACTCTCCTTTTCATTCCTCACCACACGACCTAATGACAGAGGAGAATACCTACTATCAATGCTTGCTAGTTAGTAGCTAGTGCATGTACTGTACATGTACATGTACACTGTACAATTACATGTACATGTATATTATAAATAGATATACATGTATTTTTAATATACATACATGTACATTTACATACTTACATGTACATTTGTATGTATATACTGTACTTGTACTAATTGTGATGGTTTCTTCTCCTCACAGATACTGTTGCTAGACAGCGCAAGGAACAGGGTCACTGGTTAGGTAAGAAGTCAAATTCCTCCCTCAGGAGAGGAGGAGGAGGAGGAGGGACTTCCTCCGGTCGCTTTGAAGGAGCTACAGACACACCAGGACAGACCAATGGGCCTCCAAAGTGAGTGGGTCAATGAATACTGCTATTTTTAGTAACGATTATGATGATATCATCTTACCAATGTTATTTTTAGTAACATTATAAATGTATTGTGTTGTGTAGGTTTGCTAATCGTGCGCTGATGTTAGTCCTTGAGGACTGGCTGAGTATAAGGACGACTCTCCTCTGTCATAGCAAGGAGGAGATTAATGGAGGAGGAGGGAGGGAGGGAGGAGAGTGGCCGTTTGTATTGTCTCAGGGAGAGCAGCAGAGGATACTCAAAGCTCAAAAGACTACGAATTATCTTGACAGTTTTACTTATACAATCCTAACAAGAACCACTCACCCAGTAAGAATTCAGCACTTTATTTAGTACAGTGATTATTACTGTATTACCAGTTTACCATGCACATGTAAATGTACTAATTTTAAATATTATATAGTACCAATTTTTCTATTCATTACATGACTTTCAATCCTTCTTCTATCTCTCCTTCTTCACACAGATAGTGGAGACATTAGTAAGCTCACTGGTATCACAGATTGGTCCTGAGAGAGCTGATTCCGAGGCAGTGAAAGCCTGTCAGCATTTCATTCGTTCAGTTCTGAGAGTGTTGGTTGTGTGTGAGATGGAGAAAACAGGAACAACTGATACTTCTGTTAATACAATCACCAGTAGGAAAAAACAGTAAGGGAATATTATATCGTATATATTTTTAGAATTTGATATTTATGTACATGTACAAGTAAATGAAGTTTGAGGCGATTTTGATCAAAATCAGTTTTTTGAATCTTAAAATTGGTCAAAAAGGCTTGAACGAAAATAACATGTACATTAAATGTTTATTTATAAACTGAATTTTTGTCCCTTCTCCAGATCATCAGATTCAGATCATTCCTCAGTCTACAAAGAGGCTGTATTTATTCTCAATTCTCTCTCTCCTCTCTCAATACCAGAGGTTATCAGTACAGCACGTGCCCTCATCCTTCCAGTGTGCATGGGCGTGGCCAGACCATTTCTTCCTTCACTGATGAACGATAAACACAAGATATCAGAAGAGCTCTTCACCCTACCCTCTGCCACTCTCCATCGTCAGTCTAAGTCCTCTTCTACTGCTGCGACTACCGTTACAGAAGTGGGTGTGGCTAATATAGGCGGGGTCGGTGAGGGTGTGAGTGACAGTGAGAGTGAGGTTGGTGAGGGGGAAGAGACTCATACCCACGGGGACGCGTCGTCGACGGCAACCATTGGGTCCGGGCCCATCCCTTTCTTTTCTGACCAGGTGGGTATCATCAATCTTTTTTTGGCTGAATATAATTTTGTACTTTTGATTATAATTTTACAAATAAATTTTAGTTTTAAGATTTACATGTAACGTGCATGTACATGTACGTTAAAATTTTTAATGTTTTCTTCATGTACAATGTACGTGTCCGATAATCAAGTAATGCTGTAGGAGAGCAGTGATGGTGAGGATCTGGACAGTATGGGAGAGGACGGGTCACTGGAGGGTGAGATGGAGGACGAGGTGTATCCGTTTGTTGTTGGAGGGGGAGGAGTCAGTGAGACTAACACTGGAAGGACAGGTGGAGCCACACACTGGGCACTCCCTGAGACTGGAACCACTAGTGTTAGGAGGTTCTCTAGATCTGGCGGAAGGTAAGGGAGGGAGGGAGGGAAAGAGGTATTACAGTACGTGGGGTACAGCATAGGCTATGATAATACAGGATATTTTCAGATTTGGCACATTTATTTTAAGAATACTCATAACTCAAAAAATTTCAGTGTTTTATATGGTATGATATTTTACTATTAAATTTGCAAGTAAATTTTGATAATATTTATGATCAATTTCACTGATTTTTCTTATAAATGTTCTTATTGCTTGCTATTAATTATCCCTAGGGATAATCACAGCTACAATGTCACTGTCTCTCTCCTTACTCAATCCTTTTCTTCTCTCATTCGTCTTGTCACTGAACTCCAATCTAATATCACTATGGATGGACCGCACCCACCTTTTGTACTGCAGCCACTCCCATCTGATCGAGAAGAGGTACATGTACATGTACATGTACAGTACATGGAAAAATTGTAACATGACGCTAGAACAATGTACATGCATGTCTTTTACTACATGTACAGTACATGTATATGTACTTTATAGTATTTGATTTCCAAGGGCTAGTATACATGTACATTTAAATGAAATACATGTATCTACTGTAATTTACTAATTCATAATACATGTTTAAATGTACATTTTTGTCACAGATTCATTTGGTAATATGGAGAGGTCTTGAGAGAGTATGGACGTGGCTTGGCTCAGTAATGGACAGCACTGAAGCTCAGCTGAGACTAGGCTGTGTCCTTAATATTGGGGACCTACTGGATCCTTCCCCCTCCTCCTCCTCCTCCCCTCGTACCTCTGCCATTCACCCCTCCACCTACCAACAAGTGCCCACTGCTTCTGGTGGGCGGAGCTCTTCCTCTGACTCCTCCCCTGGGCTTGAGAGTAGGCGTGGCTTTCTTGGCTATTTGTTGAGTTTAATGAAGTGTGAGAGCAGCGAGCACAGTGGGGTCCTCCCGGCACTGGACATGGGTCGAATGGAGCATGTGGCGTGGGTTGTAGACTCACTAGTGTACCTGTTGGCTCATACTGCACCTCCTCAGCATTCTAATAAGGATAAGATGTGAGGAAGGGAAAGAGTGTATGTACATGTACATGTACATGCGTGTACGATTTTTTAATGCTCGTAACTTGAAAAATATTTGTTGGAATCAGCTTAAACTTTCTACACAGCATAAGGATATCAATATGTATCAGAAAATGTAATAAAAATTGGGGGGTGATTTTGGAGCCTTTTTTTCGAAAAAATTATAGGCTATAGTACAGGGTATTTTTCAGAATTTTGGCATTTTCTTAAAATGGCCGTAACTCAAAAAAATATTTGTTGGAATCAGCTCAAACTTTCTACATAGCATAAAGATATCAATATGTATCAGAAAATGTAATAAAAATGAGGGGTGATTTCGGAGGCATTTTTCCAAAAAAACCATGGGCTACAGTACAGGGTATTTTTCCAGAATTTTAGCGTTTTCTTAAAATGGCCGTAACTTGAAAAATTGAAGTTGGAATCAGCTCAAACTTTTTACACAGCATAAGCATATCAATATGTATCAGAAAGTGTAATAAAAATGGGGGGTGATTTTGGAGCCATTTTTCCGAAAAAACTATGGGCTATAGTACAGGGTATTTTTCAGAATTTTGGCGTTTTCTTAAAATGGCTGTAACATGAAAAATTGAAGTCGGAATCAGCTCAAACTTTCTACACAGCATAAGCATATCAATATGTATCAGAAAATATAATAAAAATGGGGGTTGATTTCGGAGCCATTTTTTCGAAAAAACCATGGGCTATAGCCTTTGCTTTTTTTCAAAATTTGGCCATTGTTATTGCTACATGTACATGTACATGCATAATATACAATGTACTTCACTATCACCTGTATTTATAGTACTAATGTGAAGTTGCTTTCTGAGGATCAGAGGAGGTTCTTCCGTCGCTCGAGCTCCACTGTGTGTCTCAGTTATCCTCCTCCCTCTCCCTTTGCACCTCTTGCTGAGACACTCCCTCTAGCAGAAAGACCTCAACTACTCCACCCACGGTTAGTTTAATAAATTATTCACTGTACTTATTAATTTTGACATTTTTATTTGTTTCTATCTCTTTTTTTCTTATCTCTTCCCCCCCCCCCTTTCTCTCTTCCTATATAGTCAAAGTAAGGAGACTTTATTTGGTTATAGCAATCAGGAGATATTGGAGGTGTGGCCTCAGACCAGTGTCCCGCCCCCTCAGATCCACTACTTGATGTTAGCTCCTATCCCAGTACAGATTGGACTCAATAGGTCAATGGAAATGAAGGAGAGGGACAGAATGGAGACATCAAATTCAGTTGGTAATGAACAATATACAGTACACATGTACATGTGCATGTACATGTACCTTTTGATATACTAACATAAACATTTTAAAGAGATAATATTTTACATGTACACGTACATTGTGTATTAAATTTTATCATTTGTTGTTATTTTCAAGAGTCCAGATAATGGGATTATCTTATTGTTGTTATTTCTTTTCTTATCTCAGTTTATCATACCAGTACATGCACATGTACATGTACATTGTACATGTACATGTATTTTCTTTGCATTTACATGTATCATATACACATGCATGTACAGTACATGTACATGTACAGTACATGTACATGTACATTAATACAATCCATGTACAGTGTATGTACATGTACAGTATGTACAGTATATATAGCTGTAACTTCATACACTCTCCCTCTCCTGTTTCTCTTAGTTCTATCAAAGGATCAGGTATCTTGTGAGACGAGTCATTCCCTGGCAGTCTGTGTGTTACTGGGTCGCTGGTGCATGACTATTGAGCTATTGGGGCGGGTCTGTGCCGAGTCGGTTGGTAAACTCAAGCACTCGATATTCAACCAGTTGCAGGGATTTGAGAACACTGAGAGAGACCTAAGACGTGACATGGACTACCTTAGATCATCGGCACACAGAGACCTACAGCTTGAGGTTTGAAGCATGAATATTATGATTAATATTTCATAGATTGTTTAAATCATTAAATGATGTTCTTGTACATGTACATGTACATGTACATGTACATGTACATGTACATGTACATGTACATGTAGAATGAAGTTGACAATTAATTGAGAAACATTTGTTTCACAATGTACATGTACACCCCCTTTCCTTTCTCTTATTCTTTCACTTCTCTTTGATCAGCTTGTTTCATTTCCCCTTCTACATTCTTTCTATTTTCACATTTCTTCTAATTCTCTTCTTCCTCCTTCTGTTACTTTGATGTACATGTAGATGTACACGTACTGTACATTGTATCATAAAGTATGTTAAGTGAGCTAAACAGCATGAGCTTCATGAGCTGACATTAAGCACTAAAATACAGTACATGGCATTTGGAGCAACTTTAAAAAATTTGTAAAAAAATCCAAAATTGATCGGAATTAGCTCAAACTTTATATACAACATAAGGACATGTATATGTATCAGAAAAAATTATAAAAATGAAGAATTCTCTCCTAGTCATTTTTCATGAAATTTGGCCAACAACCCTGTATCATAGTACAGGGCCGTTGGCCAGATTTTGGAGCAACTTTGAAAATTCATAAAAAATTCAAACTTGATCAGAGTCAGCTCAAAGTTGATGTACAACATAACAAGATGTATATGAATCAGAAAAAAATTATAAAAATGGGGAATTCTCTTCTAGTCATTTTTCATGAAATTTGGCCAAAGTCCCTGTACTATAGTACAGGGACACTATAGTACAGGGACTTTGGACAGATTTTGGAGCAACTTGACAACCCACTGACAAGAAGCTTCATAAGCACTATGCCAAAATCCTGTGGGGAAACCCTGCTTGTACAAGAATAATGTACAAGAAGTATACACGTGCATGTACATGTACAGTACATGTTCATTTTCATTTTCAATTCTCTTGCTAAGGTTGAAAGAGAGAGGGAGAGGTTGCTCCCGGAGTTGTTTCGTAGGCTCAATGATCACTGCGAGTTTCATCGTGTTAGCATCAACCTCCAGCCACTGTGTGTCCACAGACTAAGGGTATCCTTCAGGAACGAGCAGGGGGAGGGGTCTGGGGTCGTCCGCAGTTTCTTCACTGCAGTCTACGAGGTTAGTCTCCGCCCATTTTTGAGTATCGGTCTTGACCACACCCATTTTAGGCCGTTATTTCCGAAAGTCCATTGCCGGAGTTGGATCATCGTTTGTCTCATTCAGTTCGACCAATTTCATGTAAGAGAATTTACATACATGTACAGTGTACATGTACATGTACATGTATCATAAATGTTTATTATTATAAGGTTTTTATGTTACTTTATTTTTTCTTTTTTTATAGTTTCTGAAATACTTGATGACATAGTGAGTGGTAGTATGGAGGAAGTGGGTGGAGGAGGAGGGGGAGGAGGGGCTGAGGTATCATCTTCGGGTGAATTGTGTCCGTTGTTCCATCAGCCTGGTAAACCTGGTTTCTATTCAGTCAGAGTTGGACCAAACACTCCATCGAGACTTAATGCATATAGAAATATAGGGAGGCAAGTATTAGTGCCTGTACCTTCCCTCTTTCCTTGTTTTCTCTCTCTCTCTTGTAGTACATGTACATGTGTACCCTCTCCTTTCTCTTTCTCATTTCTAGCACTTTATTAACATTCATCTCTCTTTCTCTTCCCTCCCTCCCTCTCCCTCTCTCTCATAGGGTTATTGGTTTGGCATTGTTACATTCAGAGATGATGCCTCTTCCTTTCTGTAGACATATTTACAAGTATCTGCTTAACAAAAAGGTACCGTACATGTACATGTATACCATTAATGTCTATATGTGTGGTGTTCATGATAATATATATTCATATGCAGTTAATAATTAATTTCATGATGTGTTATACTATATGTTTTTCCTGCTGAGTCAATCTGTACATGACAGCATGTGGTGATCATGTGCTGACTGTCTCATGTGTAAGGATGATACACATTAACACTTGGTGGTGGCAATTTCTTATTAGTAACACTGTCTGTATCTGTTTAAACCACCCATTTAGCAGTACTGGGCAGTTGTAGGCTAGCAGTACTGGGCAGTTGTAGGCTAGCAGTACTGGGCAGTTCATGTAGTAGTACTGGGCAGTTATGGCTAGCATTATCATCAATTCAAGTCCAAAGTTCACTTTATTGCTTGAAAAGAGCTATACATGTACCTCCTGATAAGATCTTTTTTATTGATTAAAGGTTTTAATAGCAACATGTCATTTTTTATTTGGAGTCCATGACCTTATAATGACTTAATGTGTGGTATGTTTAATTGCTAATTGTGTATGTGGAAATTGTGTGTGTTTATTGCACATCATGCAATGGTGTTTGTGTCTGATGATCTAATAGTGTACACTCTGACCTTTCATTATAATGATTGTTTGATGTTGTTAATCAATTTATGCAATGACTGTTTACTGTTTACTGCTGAGAAACTTTGCACTGTATCTTGTTTCTGTCTCTCTTTCTCCATGTATTTTTTCCTCTCTCGTCTTTTTAATCTTCCTCTCTCTCTCTCTCTCTCAAGATCTCGTGGCATGATTTGGCATTCTTTGATCCTGCCCTTTATGAAGGATTGCGTAAGCTGGTCATTGTGTCACAGAGAGAAGATCATCATGTCTCAGAAATGGGTAACTACACTCCACTAGCTACCATTATTTGTAATTCCTTTACATGTACATAGTCTACTACAGTGTGCATAATTTATTTATATCTGTACAATGGACATACATGTACATGCATGTAGGTGTATGTGTACATTTACATGCCATAAAAAACATGTACATGTATCTTTATCTTTAATCCTTTTTTTGTACTGTATGTTCACAGATCTCAGTTGGCAGGTTACTTTGAGTGAGAATGAAGGAGGGGGGACTCACTGTCTCCTCTCCTCTCTCTCTGATAAGTCAATAGTGGCCGATGATGTATTGGAATATGTAAGACGCTATGCTGAACTGAGAATGATAAAGATTATTGAAGAACCACTCCAAGTTAGGATGTGTTTACTTCTGGGTAGTAGCCATGTTTACTGGGTCATTCTTTCTCCTCTCTCTCTCTCTCTCCCTTTCTCTCTACCCCTCTCTCTCTCTCTCTTTCTCCCCCTCTCTCTTCCCTCTCAGTCAATGAAGTCTGGTTTATATGATGTCCTCCCTACTACAGTATTGGAGGGTCTGACTCCTGAGGATTTGAGGCTTTTGCTCTGTGGGTGTCAGCAGGTTGAACTTGACGTACTCAAAAAGATAACAACTTTCACCGACGAGAGCCGTAAGTGAAAATAATACAAACGACCTCAATTAGTTATTTTTACTAAGTATTGTTTGGTATTTTAGCGAATGAATGTATACACATCCATGTACATGTATAGTATATCCACATGTACATGTACTTTACATGTACAGATGTACATATTGGCAAATTGTGGCTGTTTTCTATACATGCACTTGTGACCCTAGTTGTAATTTAATTATTGTTTTGGGGAAGAAACCTGTAGCTTCTTGGAATTTGATAAATTTGAGAGAATGTCCATGTGTGCATGAACGTTGTAAATAGAGAAGGAAGAAAAATCAATTGCAAATAAGGGAAAGGATATGATAGCAATAGCTGGTATTTAAAATTCGCCCTCCCTCTCTCTCTCCTTAGGCAAAGGCACTGATCAGATCAATAAATTCAAGTCGTGGTTCTGGTCAATCGTGGAGCGAATGAGCAACAGAGAGAGACAAGACCTCCTTTATTTCTGGACGTCCTCCCCTGTAATGCCGGCAAACCCAGAGACGTACCAACCAGCTCCTAGTATAACCCTGAGACCAGCTGACGATCAGCACCTACCAACTTCCAACACTTGCATCTCTCGCCTCTATCTCCCCCTCTACTCAACGAAAGCTTTACTAAAAGCAAAACTTCTAGCGGCGATTAAGATAAAGACTTTTGGCTTCATATGAGACCTGGTGGGCATCATTTAGAAATCTCACTCAATGTATTTATTATTATTATTATTATTATTATTTAATTTTTCTGTACGTGAAAGAGAGATACAGTATTATGTTTGTAGGTGAACAAAGAGAGAGAGAGAGTGGGGATAGGTGATGGTGGGTATTATTATTATTAATAGTTCAATCATTGACAAGCATGAAAAAATTTTTCTTTAACTTTGTATAATAATAAAATTATTATTGTTAACTTTATGTGTACAAGGTACTTGTGTTATGATAGGTTGGCAGGAGGGAAATTCTGTTATGGAGTGTAGGTAGTTGTAAAATGCCTCACTTTCCTTGTAACTCAGACCACATAAAAATAACCTTTGCCAGCTTTGATTTCTGTTCTTATAGTCTTTATATCCATTATTGTTTGTTACATTAGAAAACTGCTATTGTTACTGGGTTATCGAGGGAGGGAACTATTAGAAACAATGTTGTTCTTTGTACTTTTATCATGTCTACTCTACATTGTTACATAATATATGTAGGCCCACTATAATACCAAACAGTCTACAGTACATGATAATGATAGATCTACCCCACAATTGTTATAATTATTAGTATGATTATGATTGAGCAATCTTGGGTATTGTAACTTCCTTGCAAGACTTGATTGTGTAAGCCTAGAACTTCGTTAAACATTTCATTTCTTAAAGATACAATCCTTGTTGTAAACTTTACCAGTTTTGGCATAATTTTATGATTGATTCCGTCATGTGATGTCATTTTTGGCATTAAAGTCAATCAAAAATCTATTTCCTGTACATCTGCTCCAATCCGGCTGTCTCTCCCTCTCTCTGGCTCTTGCATACCATTAGTAATGCAAGAAACATGTATACTGATGTAGTGATGCAAGACAGGAGGTCCTGTGATGGCAAAAGCATGCTGCCATGTATAGTATAAACAATTTCATTGGAGCATGTACTAAAATAGATCATTATGTGCCTGCATAATTGGTCTGACAGTCAGCACAATAGTAAGGAGTGTCGTCTTTGCATTAATATTCACTGTTGTGATGACGGTGCAGTGCTTTATATGAGCTAGGATGTCGTTAAGCTATACACAGAGCCTGTATTGCACAATATTGTGTATATTTAAAAGTGTTGCTTGGCATTGGCCATGATGCCATAGTGATCAGCGGATTGCGCAAGAGACGCATAAGAGTTGAGAGTACAGCCATTAGCACTCTCACTTCTGTCCTCTCTCTCTCTTCTCCCTATAAATAGGGCTGTCTCTCTCTCTTCTCTTTTACTTCTCCTTTTTGAAAGGTCTCGTTGTCTTTACAACTAGGCACCACACTTTGTTGGCCTGGTTTGTACTATCAATTCTAGACCCTTCGCTTCCCCTCCCGCTTTTTTTAACCAGGGCAGATGATACCTGGTTTAAAAGGCTTACTCAGAGAAGGAAAGAGGACAGTAAGACTAAGGAAGAGAGTGCTAGCGGAGACCAGAGAGAGTCAAAAGGAGGTATAGAAAGAAATAAAGTCATTTTGGACAGTATCATCCAGAAGGCCCTCCATCATTCATTTATTCACTCATTCAAACTCTTGAAGAAGGCTTCTCTTCCTTTTGTCTCTCTCCATCTGTATGTACACTATCCTTCACGAGATACAAACATCATCACATCATGTCGGAAAAATCAATAGGGTGGACGAAACTCCGCCCGAACAAGACGACCTGACGACTACCCCCCTCTCTCCAGCTTCTTTCAAAATTGCCGGTCGGTACAAATTTGAAGCTCCCCCTGTCTTTCTGACCCCCAATAGCAATGTCCCGTGTGTCGATACAATGACTGGCGCTTTGCTGGCCAGTCAAGCATATCCACTTGGTCGTTTCATGGAAGTATGTCATTTATTGAACCTCACGTTGCCTGGCATTCACGAAATTACAGACGTGAGCATACTGAGTGATAGGGCTTTCGTTTTCCGTCCACTTTCGCATGGTGATCTCCACGGGTGTCTGAGGTATCATAAGGTTCTAACTGAGAGAGTAGCGGCAGAATACTTTAGGCAAATAATGGTTTCCATTGAAGCAGCACATAGTAATGGTCTAGTACTCAGAGATCTCAAGTTAAAGAAGTTTGTCTTCACAGACTCTAATCGGTATGTATGCATGTACATTGTGTCAATGTATTATTAACTTCCCTTCCTTTCTATTCCCCTCTTTCCTCTACTCTGTAGTTTCAATCTAGCTCTCTCAAGCTTAGAAGATGCTGTAAGTGTAGGCAAGACTATAGACAGCAATGACTTATTAGACAATCGGAATGCCTGTCCAGCCTATGTTGCTCCAGAGATGCTACAACCAGGGAAGTATTCGGGTCGAGCGGCAGACATGTGGAGTGCTGGTGTGATACTGTACACAATGCTAGTGGGGCACTATCCTTTCTTTGATGCCAATCCACAGCTACTATTCAAGAAGATCAGGGCTGGATATTTTGAGTTCCCTCACTCAATGTCTTTCTCAGTTCGTTCTCTCATCTATTCAATGCTAAGCTATGATCCTGTTCAGAGACCCACAGCGTATGCAGTCTCGCAGCACCCGTGGGTAAGGAACCCGTCAATGGCTAGTGACGTCCTTCCCTCGCCTACTCTCTCTTTCACTACTGGACTACGCTACAGACAATTGAATGAAGATCAAACTGTGCCTATTCACAAGTTACTTTAGTATTCACTATTACATGCTGACTATTACACTAACACTAACAAGGCCAATGATTGTTACACCATTCCACGCATTACAACATTATTATATTATATATTATACTACTGTATATTCTCTCTCTCCCAATGCTGTTGTATTACTCTTATTTCTTCTTTATGCCTTTACCAACTATGTTATATTATTTCTTCCTTTCTGTTGCATTCCTTTCCATTGTAACTCTTTCAAATGCCCATTAGCACGCTTTATTGCTTGTTTTGGCTTTTGACTCAGTGCAATGTCAGCCTGGTTGTGATGAGTCAAGTATCTTATCAATACTAAATCAGTTTTGACTAGCCCTGAATGCTGAGTATGTGCATGTGATTGTAGATAGTAATAACATAATCTACCCTGAGGGGGTGGAGCTTTTGCAATTTCATTTCTTGCATATTATGCAAAAAATGGTTGAACTTAGTAAGTCTTTCATTTCGAGCAGATGTTGATTCTTATTTAATTTTAAGCATAGATCTAACTACCTTACTGAAGCTATTTTCTACTAAAGAACATTATGGCCGAATACCATTGAATTTGGTAAGTATTGTACTGAAATACAGACTAAAAGAATTATATAATCCTTAAGCATTTTATTGTCTCAATGTTCAAAATAAAACTTTCTTTAAAGAAAATGGGGCATACACACACACAGAAAGAAACTGACTAAAGCTAATAGCGAAAAACAGCTACACTGCCAACTAAAAAAAATTTTTGCTTAAGGTCTTAGGGATACTCTCCTAGGTCATTGCTTAGTGCATCCATTTCCTCTTCAGTAATATCATCAGGTGCAATGGTGTCAGGGAAATCACTTGTATCTTCTTCTGGTGCAAATGATAATTTAGTAGCATTTTGCTGATAGGCAGAGATTGAGGTTTTGAACTTTTTGGCATATGCTTCGTAGTCACCAACTGTCATGTGGAAGTCTCCACATTTATTCATTGAGGCGGGTGGTTTTAGCTGACTCATTTGTTTGGGATAGGCTTCATTAAGAACCAATGCCATCCCTTCTAACTGATGAACCTCAATATGGCAATGTAGGAACCAGAATCCTGGATTATCGCTGAGGAAGTTAATAACAACATACCCTCCAGCCGGTAGCATCACAGTATCCTTTCTTATTGTGTATCGATCGATGGAGAGTCTGGGCCCATTGGTAGTAGACCAGCCTGGTTGGGTACATCTCTTCTTATTGCAGTTATTGGTGCAAGTGCTGTCGCCGCATTTAATGTCCGAATTATGGACACTGTCTCCATTCTCCTTTTTGATAAACCCAGTTTGGGAATCATATTCAGGGTAACCGACTTTTAAAACATGAAACGTGTGACCGTGTACATGAATGGGGTGAGCATTGTCCCACTGCCCAACTGCTGAGAGAACAATTTGAACAGTTCGACCGTATGGTAAGTCCAGCCTATGAGTACAGAGACAGCTTGTGTTCTGTGGGTTGCAAGAAGCTTCAAGAGAGCAGTGTGTTGCTTGATCTATGAAGTCGCTATACTGCGTCTGAGGTGGGGCTGGAGGGAGAACAAAATTACGGCCATTGACGGCACTAGACTGAGCGTCGCCTTCGAAATTGAAATTTATGAAGTGTCGACAGTTTTTAAATGTGCATGGATATGCATTTGGCATTTCATTTCTAGGAGCTGGCAGAAGAAGACGCATCTCTACAATATTAGTGCATCTTGTGTAGTAGTTTGGATGAAAGTCCTTGAAAGGGCAATTGATTGCTCTGCACGGTCGACCGTTTCTACAAACAATTGGAGGAGAGTTATCTTTGATGGATTGGTATCTTGTTGATGGTATGTTTGGTATGTTGGTCTCTCCTTTTTGGACATATTGAAGAATTCCCTCGGCAACATGACCAAGAGACTCATACGGAGGACTGGACCGACTTGTTCGGTTTATTTCTAACGTTTCAGCTCTCATCCAATATTCCTTTATGCGCTGATTGGCATTGAGAATAAAATCAAACCTCTCTCCTGTGTGAATTATTATATAATCCACTTCTTTTTCTGGCCTTGTCCAATAGCCATCTGTAGCAACTACAGTTAGTTTGTGTCCATCAATGGAGAATTTATAAGCATACAGTCCCTGAGCCCCAATCAATCTAAACCTGTACTTCTTGCCAGCCTCAACAGTAAACACACTCAGTCTTGTCTCAGCATAATCCACATCTTTATGCCTTCCCTTACCATTGATGAGTCCTGAATAGAAAGGGACTGGACCTACTTCACCACTTTCATAGCTTCTTGTAGACTCATAGCGCTCATGATTATCATCAGGTACCTGCCCTGGGGTGGTTTCTTCATAATACCCAAGACCAGCTATCAGTCTTCCATAGCCTGGCTCAGATTCCCAATCCAGTAATGAAATGCTATGCTCACCAGGCTTGTCTTCAAATGCCCCTAAATTAAGTGCATTTGTAATTCTCTGTAGATCGGCGCTTCGTTCCTTTACAATCAATGTTCCAAAGAAACCATCAGTCCTCTGAGCCCCACTATGAGAATGATACCAGAATGTTCCAGAAGGGCTTGCCTTGTATATGTAACTGAAAGTACTAGCAGGACCAATTTGACAGTGTGATATTTGTCCAACCCCATCCATCCAAGGTGTGCCTCTCTGATGCATCCCATGCCAATGTATAGATACACCTTCAAGTGTTAGATTATTACGGACATGAATGACAACCATCTGCTGATCATGCACAATTATTGTTGGACCCGGTATTTGCCCATTGACTCCAATTGCTTCACGGAATGTTTTACCATCAACATACTGAGGATATGTACATCTTGTTTCATTAAATGTTTGCTTGCTGCAGCTCCTTCCATTGTATGCTTTGTGTGATCTCTCTACTCCGTCTTTTATAAAGTAGCTCACTCCTTGTGTGCCACGGATGTACAACGAGCTCTCATCATCATCATGTCTCAGTTTTTGATAGCTTGTGAAGGTTTGTATTTCATCTATCTCCAAATTGAATATACAAGTGCTGGCTGTTTCCTTACAAGTGCAGGTTGGATGTTCAAAGCCACATAGCGGTGTATCTTCACTGCCTAGGCTTAGTACATGCTTTTTAGCGTCATACTTATAAAGATGAGCCTGATCACCATCCAGCCATTTATCAAAAGGTTTATCTTCGGTGAGTACTTCATAAAACCCTGAAGCCGTTCTGACTTTTGTTGTTATTGAAGTCGCATACCAACCATCCCTTCCACCTGCAACTATCATCACCAATCTAATATCTGATTTTTTGATGCATTTTGAGCCTGCATTGAAACCCCTTGAAAATGTAAGATGGCATGAAAATGGTCTGTTTCTATAAGCAGGGCTGCAAATGTCACCTTGCAACTGAGAATTGTCCTTAAGGTATAGCTGTATCTTGTGCTTCCTGTAGCCCATATAAGATGAGCTGAATCCTGCATATCGACGGCTTCCTGTTAATGCATCGATTTTAAAGTCAGTCAAACAGCTGCTGCTGTGAGAAGACTTAGTTAGGGTCAATGGAACAAGTCTTGCATTGTAAGGGTAGCGCCATCTCTCATCATAGTCAACCCACTTATTAAAATTGGTATCAGATGACAGTAGCTTGTAGCTGACACCAGTTCTGTAGTATGTCTTGATAGATTTTACAAACCAGCCATCTCTACCACCATATGGGGACTGGAGGTAGGCATTTGTAATTCTACTGCGACTGATGCATGGAAGAGATGGGCTGAAGCTACTTCTTGATATTGTGCGATAAACATTTCGACCATAATTCTTAACACCGGTAATTGCTGCTGAATAAGTGGTACCAGAAACTCTAATAGCAAGCCTTGGATTAGTACCATATCTTGGGTTTTGATTGCTACCATGTCTAGTACCAGTAGTAGCTTCAATTTTGAAGGATTGGATGCAACCTATGAGAAGAAAAAAAAACCTTAATAATCCTGCAAAAATGTGATTGAATGAGCATTTATAATATCACTGTCACATGCAAACATACGTCCTTCCTTAGTAACATCATCAGTTATGAATTCTAATCCACTGTCTACAGAATCAAAGTCCTCATTATCTTCATCAAAAGGTGTGCTCTTGTCATTTACTTTCTTCATATCCTGCACAATCTCCTTTAGCTCATCTAGCATCTCATGCATTTCAGTATACTCATCTTCATTTTCTGCTGCCCCTGCTACAGCAAGAAGGCTGGCAACACACAGTATTGCAGTGAAAAGTTGCATCCTGCAGCAATTGTGATTCCAGTACAAATGTGAAACATTATATAAGCTATCAGGTAGTTATTATCTAATTATTATTCACATTCCTCTCCCACGCATAGCAATGATGCACAGTACAACTAGCCTATACAAAGCAAATTCAGTGTATGCCACTGTGTTGATGTGAGAGGTGAATAAAGTCAGCATTACAACACATTGAGTCATTGTTGTATTTCATTACTTTGATTCTATTATTGTCTGCATGCATGCACATGCATGGGCAAATATTTTCTACATGTACATCATTTGCATTGCTGGATTTAGTCATAAGTTAAATGCATATATTTACACTTGTATGAAAAATCTTGCTTCTTATAATCATTTACAAAGGTAGTAAAGATCTGCATAACTTGAATTACCTAATTTATTTAATTAGAGCATTTGACAGTTGCATTAGCCATAAAAAATTCAAATGGTACTCCACAGTTTTTACCAATGTTATACAAGATATTTTTTTCTATAAACCATGCACATCATGTATGCTAGAGCCTTATTGTGACCCTGACATGTTTAATTATTTTTTATAGTAGTGGTATGTTCCCATAGTAGATCTAATAGATTCTACACAAGCTGGAGCCCACACAAGTTGGAGTCCATACTTGTGCATGAGTAGGTAAAGCTAATCATGCCAACCAAAGTACTGTGAACTGCTCAAGGTGAATGAAATCAACTAATGGAACATGCTATATTATGCAGGCACAGATTGATCTTGGAGAGATGCAATTTCTTTCCATGAGGTTCACTAAAAGCACTAACAATAACAAATGGAACGAGAATGGCTCATGTTTCACTTATCCATACGCCACTAATACTAAATACTAAGTACCAGTTAGTATTAATTTACAGCTAACTTTAATGATAATTAGTGGTTAAGAACATCTGTGACTAAAGTGAAGTCATGAGCCCATAGGCAATAACAAGGAATGCAATAGTAAGTCAACAAGACTCCAGTCCAATCACAGCATAATAAACACTTTAATGTAACATGATTATTACCTAGTAAAGTCTATCATATACAGTATTGATGACAAGCTCTATTTAGCCAAGTTTATCCACACTGAATCTTATAGCTCAAAAAGCTGATGTTCAAAAAGCTTTGTTCAGGAAGAGCACATGTACATGGTGCTGTAGAGAATTTAAAGTATTAGCTAATTTATATTGTATATCCTTTTAATCAACAAAATCATGCACAATTCAATGATAATAACAATCATGACAATAATGATAATAATAATAATAATAACTATAAATATTCAAAGTGTCAATTTAAAAATATTAAATACGGACAGAGGATACATGTATACATTGATAATCACAAATACAACATTATTATATGTACACTTCCTAATACAACATATACACTCATAACAGTCACAATGGCATAGCCAAAGGCGGGCAAGGCCCATCCTAAAATTATCAGTGCACCATAAAATGGTTGTTATTGATAGAGAAATAAGAGCTTTGAGTACACAAGTCCTAGGAAATAAGTCATAGTGCCCATAGACACCTTTT